CAACTTTTCAGCTATGGAGCATATCTTGGCTGTGAGATCTTCTTTGAAGTCTGGATCAGCTACTTGTAAGTAGTCGACTAGCTCTTTGGTCAGAGGCTTTACATTTGTATCATTGACCAACAAATAAACAAGTTCCAGGGCCCTTTTGCGAATGGAGGCATCAGCGTCCTGAAAAGTGCACAGGTGATTGAAAATGTTACAAGCCAAAATAGCAGAACTAAGGTTCCAGAATTAATAAATGGAAATGTTAGTTACAGCCTGAAAGATTGCAACACTGAATTACTGTACAGAAAGGTTTGAGTTACTTATATATCAGTGTGGTGTAAAACCGTGAGTTAAATATTGCTGTGAAAGAGCAGCAATATCCAAACAGGACTATGCCCCCAAAGGCCCAGACAAAATGAATCAAGCTTTAGCAAGTAGGAAGCTATGAGCTATCTATTCCAAGGGAGCAGGGAAATATGAGATTCATGATAAGAAGTTAGACTAAATATGCAAAGCATTGGGGAAAGGTATTTACAACACAAGCAGACTCGTAGTATAAGGAATAGCCTAGCATTTCTGGCTATTCTTGTACAGGGACATGTTTTGATTCACAAAATTCAGGAGAGAGAGATGATGAGAGAAATACAAACATCATAGAAGATAAAGAAAAGTTAAGACAGATTTTTCTCTTTCTCTTTTTTTCTGGGAGGAAACTCCGCCTATGTTGTCTCAACATAGCCGGTCCCAAGCCCGGGTAAAGGAGGAGGGTTGTGATAGGCTTGGCGAGCCAACGTAAAAACTCAGCCACTCTTATGGAGATTTTGAATAGGCGTGCGTGCCTAGCCTGTAAGGTGATACCTGGAGAGAGTGTTGTACCCCAGCATAAGCTGGTGGTTGCTGACTTCCGCTTTCGGATTCGTGTCCAGCGGGATAAGCGTGCCAAAGTCGCTAGAACGAAGTGGTGGAAGCTCAAGGGGGAGGTAGCTCAGGTGTTCAAGGAGAGGGTAATTAAGGAGGGCCCTTGGGAGGAAGGAGGGGATGCGGACAATGTGTGGATGAAGATGGCGACTTGCATCCGTAAGGTGGCCTCGGAGGAGTTTGGAGTGTCCAGGGGAAGGAGAAGCGAAGATAAGGATACCTGGTGGTGGAATGATGATGTCCAGAAGGCGATTAAAGAGAAGAAAGATTCCTTCAGACGCCTATACCTGGATAGGAGTGCAGACAACATAGAGAAGTACAAGATGGCGAAGAAGGCCGCAAAGCGAGCTGTTGGTGAAGCAAGGGGTCGGGCATATGAGGACCTCTACCAACGGTTAGGCACGAAGGAAGGTGAAAGGGACATCTATAAGATGGCTAAGATCCGGGAGAGGAAGACGAGGGATATTGGCCAAGTCAAATGCATCAAGGACGGAGCAGGCCAACTCTTGGTGAAGGACGAGGAGATTAAGCATAGATGGCGGGAGTACTTCGGCAAGCTGTTCAATGGGGAGAATGAGAGTTCTACCATTGAACTGGACGACTCCTTTGATGAGACCAGCATGCGTTTTGTGCGGCGCATCCAGGAGTCTGAGGTGAAGCAGGCTTTAAAAAGGATGAAAGGAGGCAAGGCGATGGGCCCTGATTGTATCCCCATTGAGGTGTGGAAAGGTCTCGGGGACATAGCGATAGTATGGCTAACCAAGCTTTTCAACCTCATTTTTCGGGCAAACAAGATGCCAGAAGAATGGAGACGGAGTATATTAGTACCAATCTTCAAGAACAAGGGGGATGTTCAGAGTTGTACTAATTACCGTGGAATTAAGCTGATGAGCCATACAATGAAGCTATGGGAGAGAGTCATTGAGCACCGCTTAAGAAGAATGACAAGCGTGACCAAAAATCAGTTTGGTTTCATGCCTGGGAGGTCAACCATGGAAGCCATTTTCTTGGTACGACAACTTATGGAGAGATATAGGGAGCATAAGAAGGACTTGCATATGGTGTTCATTGACTTGGAGAAGGCCTATGATAAGATACCGCGGAATGTCATGTGGTGGGCCTTGGAGAAACACAAAGTCCCAGCAAAGTACATTACCCTCATCAAGGACATGTACAATAATGTTGTGACAAGTGTTCGAACAAGTGATGTCGACACCAATGACTTCCCGATTAAGATAGGACTGCATCAGGGGTCAGCTTTGAGCCCTTATCTTTTTGCATTGGTGATGGATGAGGTCACAAGGGGTATACAAGGAGATATCCCATGGTGTATGCTCTTTGCGGATGATGTGGTGCTAGTTGACGATAGTCGGACGGGGGTAAATAGGAAGTTAGAGTTATGGAGACAAACCTTGGAATCGAAAGGGTTTAGGCTTAGTAGAACTAAAACCGAGTACATGATGTGCGGTTTCAGTACTACTAGGTGTGAGGAGGAGGAGGTTAGCCTTGATGGCCAGGTGGTACCTCGGAAGGACACCTTTCGGTATTTGGGGTCAATGTTGCAGGAGGATGGGGGTATTGATGAAGATGTGAACCATCGAATCAAAGCCGGATGGATGAAGTGGCGCCAAGCTTCTGGCATTCTCTGTGACAAGAGAGTGCCACAAAAGCTAAAAGGCAAGTTCTACAGGACGGCGGTTCGACCCGCAATGTTGTATGGCGCGGAGTGTTGGCCAACTAAAAGGCGACATGTTCAACAGTTAGGTGTGGCGGAGATGCGTATGTTGAGATGGATGTGTGGCCACACGAGGAAGGATCGAGTCCGGAATGATGATATACGAGATAGAGTTGGGGTAGCACCAATTGAGGGGAAGCTTGTCCAACATCGTCTGAGATGGTTTGGGCATATTCAGCGCAGGCCTCCAGAAGCTCCAGTGCATAGCGGACGGCTAAAGCGTGCGGAGAATGTCAAGAGAGGGCGGGGTCGACCGAATTTGACATGGGAGGAGTCCGTTAAGAGAGACCTGAAGGATTGGAGTATCGACAAAGGGCTAGCTATGGACAGGGGTGCGTGGAAGCTTCCTATCCATGTGCCAGAGCCATGAGTTGGTTGCGAGATCTTATGGGTTTCACCTCTAGCCTACCCCAACTTGTTTGGGACTAAAGGCTTTGTTGTTGTTGTTGTTTTTTCTGGGAGGACTGTACTAACATATTGAAATTTTCACAGTGTGGGCGTTCGGAGGCTGAGGAATTAACGAGAGAGCCCTTATTCTGATACTGAACATACATTGGTCCCCAAACCCCAGTAGAAGACAAATACTCAGCATATCAGACAGGGCATACTCTTACCTTTACACACTCCAATATTGTCACCCTGTGCCTCTGTACGGCTTGTGCATCTACTGTAATGGCCCTCATAAGTATGTTCAGAGCAACATATCTGAAAGAAAAAAATAGATGAACAGTGAAAATTTTACCCCAGAACGGAACAGATGGATAAACATTTTTGTTGATATAATTGCTCAGAGGAAAAATAGAGACAATTGTTTGATGCATCACCACCAGAAAACAATTATAGCTGAAGCTACAGTTATAAACTAAAGCTGCAAGTTCAATGTACTTCCCTATTACAATTAGCAGGTAAAAGAGAGAATAGAAGTCTTCAGACACCTTATTTTACAGAAAAAATAAGCAATCGAGATCAAAATAAATAAAAAATTAACCTTATATTGTTATCGCGGTTTGACAAGAATCTACCCAGAATATTAATAGCCAGGACACGTAGACCACTAGTAGCTTCAATACCCATTATAGTCTCAACACATTCATATAAGATGGCATTTCCAGCATTCTTGTTTGACTCGGTTTTTGTTGCGACCTGGAAAAGAATACAACAGTTATTTTTCCAATGTGATATGCAAATAAGTGCCGATTACCAAAAAAATGCACGTTGTGGTAAATTTTCAGTAAATAGGGAAGAAAAAATAATCTTTCATGTGTCTTCTAATCCAACACACATGCAGCACTACCCTAAGCTGGAACTAAAGGAACAACAGTATACAGCAAGTCAGTAATTAACACAACATGAACTACCTGAGCAATGGGTTAAGTATGCAAAAATTGTTCTTTAGACCAAAAAAAGAGCAAAACTGAGCTCACGGTGTTGCATAACATTACAATATTATAAGCCTATCCCCTGACTGGAAGAAGGTCAACAAGAGATATATCAGAATTTACTGCAGATTTGTTGTAGGATTGTTAGCTTGGTTCTTGAGCCATGTATTACGTGCTTCCATTGTGTTTCGAGTTGCTGGGTTCTATTACTTGTGTGATGTAACAATAAAGTTCAGCAAGGTTTTTCTTTCATCTCACGCTGCTAAGTTGCTCGAGTCTAGAAGTTCACGACTGTTTGTTCTAAGATTGTCAGTGTGTTTTAACTTTTAATTTAGAACAATTTGGTTTGGCGTGTGCAGTTTCTTTCCTCATCTAGGCGACACTTAAGCGTCGTAGGCGTGGCCTAGGCGGACGTACATTTTTTACTACCAGGGTTGTATTTTGGGTTTATATGTGTATGCCACTAATTTATAACATGTAAATGAGTAAACTACCAGCTGCTACCATTGGAATATGGCTCATTTGTCCTGCAAGTGCAATACGGTATGATTTCTTGCTGGAATGGACAATTTCTTGCTTGCCCTACCTAGACTACTGCTTATGCCCTAGGTGAGGCGTTTAGCCGTTGCCTAGCACCTAAGCGTAACTAAGCGCCACCTAGGCATCGCCTTTTTCAACAGAGCCTCAATCTGCTGCTCTTTACTCTATCAAGGCTTTGCCAATTGTCATGATTTATTATTGCACTTTCAAGCAGATATTGTTATCTGACGCTTTCCACCATTGTGATTTGAACAGTTAAAATATATGTTTCCCCACATTGTAGCTCGGTTGCCCAAGATCACTTAACTTACTGATGTTGCAAATCCTCTTAAAAAGAATACATAGTTAACCATTGCCAATGCAGATTAAGGAACCAGATGAAACTAGAATTAAAAATAACTCAAGCAATAGGAATTGATCAAATCATCATGCTTTGCACGGACAACAATAAATGACAGCATTGTGCATGTGCATGTGAAACCAAAGATGACAGATATTAAGCAATCACCTGAGCGAGAATATCATTCATATAGTCACTGCAATCTGCGTCACCTTGACCCAACATACGCATAAGTTTAAGAACCCGGATATGCAAGAAAGGATCCGAAATGCCAGCAACATCATACTCAGGAGCATATGAACTATTGGAGACATCTCTAAGTATTCGGACCAGACCTTCGATGCAGTTCTACAATGAAATATTGAGTTAGAGGATAGGTCTTGTGTCAGGTAGTGTCATTTAGAACTTGTAAAGTACTCAGTTAAATGCTACTCCCTCCGCCCCAAAATAAGTGTCTCAAGTTTAGTATAACTTTGTACTAAAGTTAGTATAAAGTTGAGACACTTATTTTGGGACGGAGGGAGTAGAAAACAAAAGGTGATGTATTGATGATCTTGGGAGATAATATATGGAAGCAATTGAGTAATTTGAAACATAAGATGTAGACTGCAGGTCAAAGAATATTTTCTATTATGAAACACTGCAGCTTGAATTCTTGACCGCTAGAAGGTGTAAAACTCTCTACCAATAAACTTCACTATCATAAATAGTTGAGATGTTACATTAACACATGATGGGCTACAACTATAAATATAATTATCGATCATTGTCGTAATCCAGTTATTGTCAAAACAGACCTCAGGTGTAACACTAAAAGAATGTCATTACCTTTCTCAGGTACCCCAGTGCATCTTTGCTGGCTTTACACAATTCAGTGCAGAGCTGAACTGCAGATATCAAAACCCCATGGTGTTTTTCCTTCAGTAATGATACAGCAAGACCCATGAAGTTTTCCGCCAAATCCGGGACTTTTCTTACAATCCTTACAGAGCACAAAGCAGCCTAATAAACAGAGACAAGAATATCATGAAAGTATTGTGTCCATAGTGTAGAAGTGTGAAGCAAAAATGAATAACTGCCAAGTAAAAATAAATAAAATATTATCAAAAATAATGATGGGCCAAGATGCACTCATACTGTTGCAGAACAGAGCACCCAGATTTATATTTACTATTTGTGCACTTGACAATCCAAAGTGAATGGCTTCGATAGCAATGTGCAGCTTCGTAATCAACCTAGGTTTCACCCCAAATCTTAACATACAAACAATTCCTCGGGAAGATGCTTATTCTGGACATGCTCTAGCTCTACTGGATGAGTGGATTCACTGACTATAAACTGAATTGCGGTACAAAAATAAGCACCTTCTTCTTTGTATTAGCATCCCTGCTTCGCATCAGCCTCTCCACTTCAGGCGCCAGATCCCGGGCCATCTCGGCGGAGCAGATGTTCCCGAGCGCGCACAGCGCGAGCCCCACGATGAACTGGTTCGAGTGGTTGAGATCCCTGCCCCCAAATCAAGCACTAGCATTACTCAATTACGAAAGCAAACACTCTGCAGCAGCAGCAGGGAGACAGGGGGTGGGGTGGGGGTGAGCCCTACTGCTTGAGCGAGTTGGTGACGAGCATGAGGACCTCCTGGCGCTCGTCGAGGAGCAGCATGAGGCCGAGGTAGCCGATCCGCTTCTCGGGGTAGCCAGCGGCGGCGATGAGCTTGAGGCACTCCATCTGGCCGAAGTGGGTGGGGTAGCCGAGCATGTGGATGAACATGAGCTTGGCCATGTTGCGGTGCCGCAGGTCCTGGCCGTCCCCGCTGATCGCGGCCCGTATCGCCGCGCACTCCCGCCGCACCACCGCCCGCTCCTCCGCCGCCGTCTTGCACGCGCGTATCGCCCGTATCATGTCCCTGCGGAAGGGAGGAAGGAAGCTCGGCCGGTCAGAGCAAGCAAGCAAGCAGGCGCGATTCGCGGCGTTGCCGCGGCGGATCGGGGGTGAATTTCGACCGGAGGCGGGTGCCGGAGGAGAAGGGGTTGAGGGCCATGTCCGAGGCGAAGTCCTCGACGATCTTCTCGACGGTATCCAGCTTGGGATCTCCGGGAGGGCGCGCGCGAGCGCGCGCCGGGGGCGTGGGGGTGGGGGTGGGAGCTCGCGGGATCTGGCTGCGGAGGTGGTTGGGGCGGGAGGAAGCACGCAGCGGGCAGCGGGCAGCGGGGAGGAGGAGGAGGACGGAGGGTGGATCTGGAGGAGTGGAAATGGTGGCGACGGTGGTGGGAAGAACTGCGAATTGCCCCCTGAATTGTTCCGTATTTCGGAACTTTGGTCCCGTTTGGATAAAATATGCCAAATTGGAAGCTCAAAAGTAAGGTTCGGTGAAATTCGTGTGAAAACTGTTTATTTATGTGATGAATTTCGAGAGCAGGTGATAAATGAACCTCCATACGAAAATTAACTAGGCATACACATGTTTATTTTTTTTGCTTTTCCAAGAAAAAATACCCGCCTCAAGCGCGAAACTGCTTAAAGACAAAATGAATTCATCCATTTCAGGATAAAATATGTTATTAAATTATTTCGTTATCTCTATTATTACTTAAATAAAGAGTGATTTCGTTTTAGGGAGAGAGAGATTCTATTACTGTTCAAATTTCTGGGAACGTGTTGATCTTTTGCGACTTATACGACAAACTTGACGTGTTTTTATCCATGCATGAAAAATGAATCAACAACTTCCATTTTTGCCTTTTTTGCGTATACTACAACCTGGTAGCCGTCGCCTTATTTCACTTATTCACCCGCTTTTGATTTACTATGAGAGTAGGAATGTGGATAGCATTCACGTTATGTCGTTGATTCAGGAGCGAGGGAGTGGGAGGATGAGAGCGAGCAAGGAAAGTTTACACAAGACGACTCAATGTTACAACACGGGGATAGGTCCAGGGTGGTCGTAGGCTCGTAGCCAACACTTGGTTGAATGCTTACAGCTTTGCGCCATTTTGTATCTCAATACCCAATGTTTTTTTTCTGGAAACCTAAGTGAAGTATATTTTAAACCTCGATTTCATAGGACCGGTCGGAATCAAACCTTAACCTCTCAATCCCTGAAATTATTTATTTTTTGAAAAGAAGGTCTGCCCCCGGCCTCTGCATCTGCATGCAGTCATATTATTAAAAGTCTCAAAATATCACAAAATCTTCAAACTATTACAGCTCGCAAACGGAGCAATGAAAACAAGATGAACAAAAAACCACAACCGGAAATAGATAGAAGACTAGGTCCCTGAAATTATTACCTTGTACTCATCGATCCGGATCAATCCCAACCATGGATTCGCTTAGATTAGTTTGGCACGTGAGAAAATTAACAATCACAGTAGGATCACTCTCTACACTCACCAACTACACAGGTCCAAGAACTACGCCATCACTTGTACATGTTGGGTACCAGTCGTGACCATACGATGGCTTGTGACATGAACCTGCCAGTGACAGCGTCTCAGACTAGGGGCCTCTTACTACGTCGTCTCCCAGCCAAATGGGCCGGACCGAGGACCCCATGTCGGTTCACCAATGGGTCACGTCAAGACGGCCCATGGCACGTGAAAGGAAGGCTCATGAAGACTTGTCGTATATTCTAGGATGTTAGAGGTCGTCTACAACTCATTCTTTGTGTACGTAGCCAACTAGGATTAACCCTAGACCCCCCCCCGGTACCTATATAAACCGAGGGGTAGGGCACATGGAGGACACACAATGATCCCGCAGTAGATCAGATGTACTCTGTACTCCAGCCAAACACAACAAAACACAAGCAGGACATATATACGATTTTATCCCAGATGAGAGACCGGACCTGGGTAAAAACATGTGTCACTGTTACGATGGTGTCTAGACTACTAGCTCGGGACCTCCTGCCTGAGATCTATCAGATTTTGCTCCATCATTAGTGGCACACACAGGTCCCGCTACATAGTCACAGTGATTCATTGGGGGTCAAGATCGGCCAGTAGAGCGCCAGCATGACTTTCGTGGCCAGGTCTTCGATAGCATCGCCTTCTTTGCAAATTCGGCCGACCATCTTGTTGGAAATATGCCCTAGAGGCAATAATAAAAGGATTATTATTATATTTTCTTGTTCATGATAATTGTCTTTTATTCATGCTATAATTGTATTATCCGGAAATCGTAATACGCGTGTGAATACATAGACCACAATATGTCCCTAGTGAGCCTCTAGTTGACTAGCTCGTTGATCAACAGATAGTCATGGTTTCCTGACTATGGACATTAGATGTCGTTGATAACGGGATCACATCATTAGGAGAATGATGTGATGGACAAGACTCAATCCTAAGCATAGCACAAGATCGTGTAGTTCATTTGCTAGAGCTTTTCCAATGTCAAGTATCTTTTCCTTAGACCATGAGATCGTGTAACTCCCGGATACGGTAGGAGTGCTTTGGGTGTACCAAACGTAACAATGTAACTGAGTGACTATAAAGGTGCACTACAGGTATCTCCGAAAGTATATGTTGGGTTGACACGAATTGAGACTGGAATTTGTCACTCCGTATGACGGAGAGGTATCTCTGGGCCCACTCGGTAATGCATCATCATAATGAGCTCAAAGTGACCAAGTGTCTGGTCACGGGATCATGCATTACGGTATGAGTAAAGTGACTTGCCGGTAACGAGACTGAACAAGGTATTGGGATACCGACGGTCAAGTCTCGGGCAAGTAACGTACCGATTGACAAAGGGAATTGTATACGGGGTTGCTTAAATCCTCGACATCGTGGTTCATCCGATGAGATCATCGAGGAGCACGTGGGAGCCAACATGGGTATCCAGACCCCGTTGTTGGTTATTGATCGGAGAGCCGTCTCGGTCATGTCTACGTGTCTCCCGAACCCGTAGGGTCTACACACTTAAGATTCGGTGACGCTAGGGTTGTAAAGATATGAGTATGCAGCAAACCAAAAGTTGTTCGGAGTCCCGGATGAGATCCCGGACGCCACGAGGAGTTCCGCAATGGTCCGGAGGTAAAGAGTTATATATAGGAAGTGCAGTTTTGGCCATCGGGAGAGTTCGGGGGTCACCGGTATTGTACCGGGACCACCGGAAGGGTCCCGGGGGTCCACCGGGTGGGGCCACCTATCCTGGAGGGCCCCGTGGGCTGAAGTGGGGAGGGGACCAGCCCCTAGTGGGCTGGTGCGCCCCCCTTGGGCCCCCCTGCGCCTAGGGTTGGAAACCCTAGGGTGGGGGCGCCTCCACTTGCCTTGGGGGGCACTCCACCCCCCTGGCCGCCGCCCCCCTTGGGAGATCTAATCTCCAGGGTCGACGCCCCCCTGGGGGCCTATATAAAGGAGGGGGGAGGGAGGGCAGCCGCACCCTGAAGTCTTGACGCCTCCCTCTCCCCTGCTACACCTCTCCCTCTCGCAGAAGCTCGGCGAAGCTCTGCCGGAACTCTGTTGCATCCACCACCACGCCGTCGTGCTGTTGGATCTTCATCAACCTCTCCTTTCCCCTTGTTGGATCAAGAAGGAGGAGACGTCACGCTGACCGTACGTGTGTTGAACGCGAAGGTGCCGTCCGTTCGGTGCTAGGATCTCCGGTGATTTGGATCACGACGAGTACGACTCCATCAACCCCGTTCTCTTGAATGCTTCCGCTCGCGATCTACAAGGGTATGTAGATGCACTCCCCTCTCTTGTTGCTAGATGAACTCATAGATGAATCTTGGTGAACATAGGAAATTTTTTATTTTATGCAACATTCCCCAACAGTGGCATCATAAGCTAGGTCTATGCCTAGTTCTCTATTGCACGAGTAGAACACAAATCTGTTGTGGGCGTAGATGGTGTCAACTTTCTTGCCGTTACTAGTCTTATTTTGCGGTATTGTGGGATGAAGCGGCCCGGACCAACCTTACACGTACGCTTACGTGAGACAGGTTCCACCGACTGACATGCACTAGTTGCATAAGGTGGCTAGCGGGTGTCTGTCTCTCCCACTTTAGTTGGAGCGGATTCGATGAAAAGGGTCCTTATGAAGGGTAAATAGAAATTGACAAATCACATTGTGGCTTTTTCGTAGGTAAGAAAACATTCTTGCTAGAACCCTATTGCAGCCACGTAAAAGATGCAACAACAATTAGAGGACGTCTAACTTGTTTTTGCAGCAATTGCTTTGTGATGTGATATGGCCAAAAGTTGTGATGAATGATGAATGATATATTGTGATGTATGAGATCATGTTCTTGTAATAGGAATCACGACTTGCATGTCGATGAGTATGACAACCGGCAGGAGCCATAGGAGTTGTCTTAATTATTGTATGACCTGCGTGTCAATGATTTAACACCATGTAATTACTTTACTTTATTGCTAAACCGTTAGCCATAGTAGTAGAAGTAATAGTTGGCGAGCAACTTCATGGAGACACGATGATGGAGATCATGATGATGGAGATCATGGTGTCATGCCGGTGACGAAGATGATCATCGAGCCCCGAAGATGGAGATCAAAGGAGCTATATGATATTGGCCATATCATGTCACTACTATATATAATTGCATGTGATGTTTATTATGTTTATGCATCTTGTTTACTTAGAACGACGGTAGTAAATAAGATGATCCCTCATAATAATTTCAAGAAAGTGTTCCCCCTAACTGTGCGTCGTTGTTAAAGTTCGTCGTTTCGAAGCACCACGTGATGATCGGGTGTGATAGATTCCTACGTTCACATACAACGGGTGTAAGACAGTTTTACACATGCAAAACACTTAGGGTTAACTTGACGAGCCTAGCATGTACAGACATGGCCTCGGAAAACAGAGACCGAAAGGTCAAACATGAGTCGCATGGAAGATACGATCAACATGGAGATGTTCACCAATGATGACTAGTCCGTCTCACGTGATGATCGGACACGGCCTAGTCGACTCGGATCATGTAACACTTAGATGACTAGAGGGATGTCATATCTGAGTGGGAGTTCATCAAATAATTTGATTAGATGAACTTAATTATCATGAACTTAG